TTTGCCTGGGACTTCCAATTTATTTATTTAAACTTAATAGAGACAGGGTATCTCTCTATTGCTCAGGCTGGTCTTGAACTCCTGGGCTCAAATGATCCTCCTGCTTCCGCCTCCCAAAGTGCTGGGATTACAGGCATGAGCCACTGCACCACATCCCCTTTTCTTTTATTTAAGGGATATCTACTAAAAAATGAAAAAATAAGCTGCAGACTTGGAGGAAGTATTTGCAAATCACATATTTGATAAACGACTATCTCCAGAATATATAAAGAACACTCAAAACAAAGGAAAACAAAAACAAAACAAAGCGCAGGCAGCCTAACAAAACACAGGAAGACGCCTGGGACAAGGCTTCAGGGGAGGCAGACAGACGGCAAGGAAGCACCTGAAAGGTGCTCAACCTGAGTGCTCACGAGGGAAAGCCGGTAACACCGCAGAGGGCTATCACTTCACACCTACTAAAACGGCCAAAATCAGAAACACTGGCAATACCAAGTGCTGGTGAGGGTGCAGAACATCTCCGAGCTTTCACGCGTCACTGGTGGGAACGCACAGTGGCACAGCCCTCTTGGAAGGTAGCCTGGTACTTGCTAATAAAGTTGAATGTACACTTACATTCTCATGGCTCAGCTACCTGCTCCTAGGCATGCTCTCAGGCGAAATGACTACTGACTGAAATCCATACACAAACATTTATTGTGGCTTTTGATGGAAATAATCCACGTGTCCTTCAACCTGGGAATGCACAAACCAACCATGTCACATCCACAGTATGCTACTCAGCAGCAAAGGGGGCGAATTCCTGATAAACACAAAAACATGGATTCTTCAATGCATGACGCTACATGAGGGAAACCAGACTCCGAAAGCTACATTTGGTCACTTTCATGACATTCTGGAAAAGTGAAACTGTACAGAGAGCCCGTCAGCGGTTCCCAGGGACTGGGACCTGGAGAAAGTTCACTACAGGGGGCCAGAGGGGGTGTTCGGGAGATGGCACTGTCTGGGAGTCTCGTGCCCATCACCATGTTTTGTTTGTGGTGGTGAGTCCATGACTATATATATTTGTCGAAATTTGAGAGCTATATGCTAAAAATAGTGAATTTTATCATCTGTAAATCATACTGTAATAGAAAAGAAAAAAGACACACAAGAACAAAAATGGTCTCTCTGCCCTACTTTCCTTCCGCTCTCCCTTGCCGATTCTGCCCCAGTCGTGGGGCGCTCACACCACCGGACGCACATCTACCTCTGGACCTTGGCGGTGGCTGCTCCTTCCGTCTGGGGAACACCCTTCCGAATCCAGAGGGCCGCCTGGCTCAGTCCCTCACCTGATTTTAGTGTTTGCTCCGTTGTCCCCTTCGTGATGCACTGATTGAAGACCCTGACCCCACACTTCCCACTCCCGCCCCCTCTTCTTTCCATATCCCTTCTCGCCCTGTGCCACCATATCGTTTATTTCCTGCTTCTGTTCTCACTGGCAGTCTGGAATGTAGAGCATGCGGGCAGGGGCTTTATCCCTTTCGTTCCCAGCAGTATCTCCGACACCTAGAACACCACCTGGTCCAGGTCGTAGGTGCTCAGCAAATACTGGCGGAATGAATGGAGTGCTTCAGTGAATACGGCCCCGTCCTGACCTTAGACACAGTGCTGTGACGGCCCTCCCACCTCTCCAGGATCCTGGCGGTCTGTCCCACGCAACCGTCACACCAGATACAGCTTCCCAAATGCCTTCCCATGGACCCTGTTGGGCTCTGCTTCCCTGGCCCCTCTGCCCAGAGTTTGTCTCCTCCTTTCTCTTTGTCCCCTTGCCAGGGCTGTAGGAGGACATCTGCCAGGCTGCTCCGCCCCATAAGTGCATCATAGGGTGGGGTTACCTGAGAAATTGCATTTCTGCACATCTGAGCTTTGCTGTCCTAAGAGCTCCAGAGGCTGCATCCTGGAGATCATGCGTTCTGACATGTCTTGGCGTCTCAGGGCCAGAGCAGCTCTGGGGAGACTCTGGAATTCTGCTCTCTTGACCTTGAGAGGTCCACACATGGTATGACCCTTCTGGAAAGCCGCCTCCCTCCTGTGGCCTCCCAGAAAACTAGCCAGTTCCCGGATCCTGGAAAGGGTGGCCTTCCAGACAAATGTGGCTGGGGCCGACTCGGAGTGGGAGTGAGGGTCCTGTTGCAGCGTGAGTCCAGCTTCCCCAGGCACCGCAGCGGTCACAGCACAGGCTGCAGGCACCAGGGAGGCCCGTACCTTGCCCCTGCTAACCCACATTGCAGCCCCTGTGGCCTCCAGAGTTAAATGTGTTTTTAAAAATAGAAAAATGAAGTGAACGCACTATCAGCAAACATCTGCAGAGGAGCACTCTCAGCTTAGCAGCAGCAGAAGCTATGGCAGAGGAGGCAGACCTGGGGACATTCAGAAGGGGGACTTCGAGGGCCCGAAATTCCTGAGTTCACAGGCAGGTACCAAGACACTCCCAGAATAGCCACTGTGTCGGGGATTGCAACCAGGAATCCTGCTGTGAACCCAGGGCCTGGCTGTGGGCCCCAGTCCCGGTGGACAAGTGCCTGGACAGCGGAGCCTGCTTTGGGTCCCCATAGAGGGGGCGGGCGGGGCTCTGGGCTGGGGCCAGACAGCTCTCACCTGCCTGTCTGACACAGGAAGGTGGAGATACCCTTCATGTCTGCCCGGGGTCCTGGGACACTGGGGGGCCCTGGAGACCCTGGGAAGCTGTGGTGGAACCTTCTGTTACTCATGCCCCTGAAATCTGCAGAAACACTGGCTGTGGTATCATCTCCGTCCTGCCGCATAGAAGCCAAGGCTCAGAGAAGCAGGTGGACGGTCTGTCCATCCGTTCACTTGCCCGTTCACACAGCAGGCCTGCAGGTGCTGTTGGCGACACAGCTATGGTCCCCCTCACCGTGACACAGGTGCAGGCTATGCGGGCAGGGCCCTCACTCCGGCTTACGCTTCTGCCCTCCCCGCCTCCTCTCCTCCAACTGGTGCCCACTTCAACCGCCCCAGACTGCTCCTGGGGGCAGGACCCTCCTTCCTCAGCACAGGGGCCCCTGGATGGTGTACAGGCAGGCTCCCCTGACAGGTGAGAAGGATGATTACCGGTAGGGGGACAGGGGTCCCTGGTGGGGCTGAGCTGACCTGGGGTTTGGGGAAACGGCTGACGACGTCCTACCCGCTAGGGTGCGGCTGTGTGGCCTTTTAGAACCCTGCCCGTCCATGGTTGGGGCACTGTGTGGACCTACAGGCACCCACCACTAGTCCTGGCCTCACGACCGCGGGCTGGCTGTGTCCCCAGCACTGGCCCTCTCCTGCCCTGGCCGGCCAGACCTCACCCCTGAGGTCACAATGGTTCCAGCATCCAGCAACCTTTCTAGGGGCTGTCTGTGTTCTGGGGCAGCGGGCCTGCGTGTGTGCCTGTGTCTGTGCATGCGGGCTCGGACGTGTGTCCTCCAGGGGCCCCGGGCCTGCCCCTTCCTCCTCTGGGCCTCAGTTGCCTCCTGGGAGACCCGTGGATGACCCAGCCTAGGCCATTTGTTCCCTAGGCCCAGGTCCCCGTGCAGGTGGCAGGTTCCGGGGCTGGAGCTGTGACTCCCCCTCTGGGCCTGAGTCTCTGCTCCTGCTTTGTGCCGGGTTCCGCTCCAGGTGCGGGTGTTCGCGCCTCCGGGGTCCTCTCCTGCCAAAGGAACCAGGAGGGGGACAGCCTGGGAGCTCAGCCTGTGGGTCTGGGCAGGCTGCCCCGAATCAAATCCAGCCCCCTCTCCGCCGACCGTGCGCCCGGGAAGCTCGCCGCGCCGCACGGTGCACCCTCCCCACTGTAAGAGCGCAGCACCACCCAGGGTCCCAGTGGCCTTCCTCCCCTGCTCAGCGCCCTGGGATTGGGGCGGAGCTCAGAGAGGGCAGGAGCCAGCGGCTGGTCGCACAGCAGTCGGTGGTGGAAATGGGTCTCAAACTCAGGTCCCCAGACCCACGTCTAGAGTGAGGACGAGGCCCCTGGACCGGCGGCACCCCCTCCCCAGGGTGCCAGCCTGTCTGCTGGGCGCGGGGAAGGCCCCTCCCTCCCGCCGCCTGCTCCGCGACGGGCCCCCCGCGCGGCCGGCAGATGGCGCTGCGGGCCCAGGCAGGACTCGCGCGGCGGGAGGGCAGCGGCCCCGACTGGGGGGCCTGTGAGCGGCACGCGTGCCACCCGCCCACGCGCCCCCGGTGATAGGACCCGCCCTCCGCTGCACCCTCCCTCCAGGGGGGACCCGCAGAAGGGGCGTCGTGGGTAGGTGCGTGGCATCCCACCGCCCACCGGGGGCAGGGAGCGCAGGAGGGGCCACGTGGGTCCCATCGCCAAGCCTTTGCAGTTCCCCCTCCTGCTGTTCGCCTGCAGTGAGGAAGGGGCCAGACCCAAGGGCGGGGCAGCCCCCGGCCTCCTCCCAGGCTCCTTCTCTCTGCCCCTGCACGACTCCCTGGGGTTCCCAGGCTGCAGCTGGGTTAGAGGCTGTGGGCAGTGCCTTCCTCCTGGAATGCGCCCTGCCCCCAACTTTCCTAAAGAAACTCCTCTGTGCACGTTCCTATTTGTCCTTGGAGACCCCCCCGCCCAGGCCACCTCCTGGGGAAGCCACCCCTGATTTCTCTGGGCTCCCATAGCATTTATTCTCAATGTGGTTTGTTCAGCCGGGCTGTGCCTGCCTGGGTGGTGGGACCGTGGGGGCAGTGGTTTGACTGGAGGTGATGGGAGGGGCCAGGAGGACACTCATGCCCCTCGTCCAGCTGGGTCCCACCACCAGCTCCCCTGGCTGCTGCCTCAAGGCCTGACTCCCTGAGGTTTCCTTCCCAGGAGACAGTGGCCCTGTCTGACCAGCGGACACCCCCACAGAAGACTTAAACGTAAGACCTGAAGCTGTAAACTCCTAGAGGAAAACAGGGGAAGTGCTGTTTGACATGGCTCTTGGCAACAATTTTTTGGATATGAAGCCAAAAGCACAGGCGAAAAAGCAAAAATAGACAAGTGGGACTACACCAAACTCAAAAGCTTCTGCACAGCGAAGGAAGCAACGCAATGAAAAGGCAGCCTGCGGAACAGGAGGAAACACTTGCAAACCCTCTCTCTGATAAGGGGTTAACATCCAACATATAGAAGGAACTGCTGTCACTCGATAGCAGAAAGTCAAATCATCCAATTTAAAAGTGGGCAATGGACTTGAATCGACATTTAGCCAAAGAAGACAAATAACCGGTATATGAAAAGGTGCGCGACATCGCTGATCACCAGGACATGCAAATCAAAGCGGCAGTGAGATCACCTTGCACCTGTTAGGATGGCTGGCATCAAAAAGACAAGATGGCAAGTGTTGGCCGGGTGTGGAGAGAGGGAACCTTGTACTCCGTTGGTGGGAATGTAAAATGGTGCCGCCGATGAAGGAAACAGCATGGAGGTTCCTCGGAAAACTAAAGATAGACCTGCCATATGATCCAGCAGCCCCTCTCCTGGGCACCATCCAGAGGAAATGGATTGAGGATCCTGAAGACGCGGCTGCACTCCCACGATGGCGGCAGCGTTTCTGAGGATAGCCAAGATACGGACACGCCCTAAGTGTCTGCGGTCAGGTGAACGAAGAAAGAAAATGTGGTATATACATACAATGGAATATTATCCAGCCTTTAAAAAGAAGGAGACCTGCCGTATTTGACGACATGAATGAACTTGGAGGATTCTATGCCAAGTGCAATGAAGCCAGACCCAGAAAGGCAAATTCTGCCTGATTTTGCTTCTGCGTGGAATCAAAAATAGTCAAAGTCAGAAGCAGAGAGTACAGTGGTGGTTCCCAGGGCCGGGGGGGCGGGGAGAAGGGGAGAGGAGGCCTTGCTGTTGAGTGGCGGTAAGGTTTCAGCTAAGGTAAGTGCGGAAGTCTGCAGTCAACACCGCACCGTAGTTAACGAGGCCGCACTGCACACTTAAACGTTTATGAAGTGCACAGATCTCACGTTAAGTGTTCTTACCACAGAAAAACAAAATCAAAAAGCCCACCACTGAGTACACCTGACCCAGCCTCGGGTGGCAGCGCTGGGATCCCTGCCCAGGGCTGCAGGGCCTGGAGTCCTGCCCTCTCCTCGCAGCTGTGGCCTGGTGGGGCTGCGGGCTCTTGCTGGGACCCTGTGCTCCCGGTGGAGGGAGTCCCTGTCCTCTCTGAGCCTCGCTGCCCTCAGGTGCACAGCGGGCATGGACTGAGGCCCCTTCTGGGGGGCGGTGAGAGTACCCACTCTGGGCCCTGGGTGGGTCCCCATCCTGCAAGTGGGTGATTCCCTATGCCAAGATTGGTTGGGGAGGGTCCCGCTGGTGGCTCTGGGGCCCACGAGGTGGGGCAGCCCCAGGTCAGCAGCAGGCCCGGGTCCCCAAGCTGGGACAGGGCCCAGGGCTCCTCTTTGCCTTCCAGGGCTCCCCTCCTCCTCCACACCCCCTCCTACGCTTTCACAGAATAAAGAGTGGAGAAAAGGCAAAAGAAAGAGGTTTTCTCCTCCGCTTTCTGAAAATGAGATTTTAAAAATAACTCCTGGGGCGGGAGTGCTGGGAGGGGCCTTTCTGGGGAGACCAGCCGAGCCTGCTCTCCCTCGGCAGCCACCCCCCTCCCGGCCAGGGCCTGGGGCCTGCTTGCCTCCACCCCAGGCTTCCTCTGCTAGGCCCCCTTTTCTGTCCCTCAAGGAGCCTGGGCCTTCCTGACCCCTGGAGGAAGCAGCAGAGGCCAGTGGACAGGGAGGGAGCTGCTGGTGCTAAGGGCAGAGGAGGAAGGACTGTGGGGCCGTGGCCGGGTGGGAAAGGGAGCTGGCTCCCACACGTCTCCCCCATCTTGCCGGCGCCCTTGGCTTCCTCTCGGCTCACTGCTCAGCAGCCACAGGCGTCCTGGGCTGCTGCCTCCTGCTCCTCGGGGGTGGGGCTTTTTCCTGCCACAGGACCTTGGCATGTGCTCCTCTTCAGGCCCGCCCGCCCCCAGCTTCAGCGTCATTCCTGGAGAGGCCATCTCAGATCACAGAACGGATATGGAGTGTCCCCTCCACCCCGACGCAGTCAGAGCTCCCTGCACATTTCCTTTTCACACTGGCGTTTCCTTCTGGGTTTCTCTGCTCTCCCAGCTTTCAGTCCTGACGCTCTGGAGGGTGGGCTGGGCGCAGCTGCTCTTGCCCCTTGCCCGGCCCTCGGGCTCTCAACCTCACTATCCCTCACCTGCCAGCACCTGTGTTTCTCTCCGGGGGGCTTTCTGGCCACTGCTGAAGAAGCCAGGGAACCCAGCTTTCCCGGGAGCAGCCCTTGACCTGTGAGTTGAGGGCAGGGACAGACAGCTCAGCCCTACGCCTCGGATGGGCTGACCCAGTGGGGTCAAGCCTGGCGGCTTCCAGGATGCCGAGCACTTGACAGCGCCATGCCGGCTTCCCTCCTCCTGAGTCTCTTTTCCTCCCACACCCTGCGGTGTTTCCTGGGATCACGTCTTGAGAACATGCCTGCCCTAAGTTGCCGCCTTGGAGTCTGTGTGTGGGGGGCGGAAGAATGGCCCCAAAGGTATCGATGTTCTCCTGGCTGGAACCTGTCATTGCTACTTCTTATGGCAAAAAAGGGCTTTGCAGCTGTGATGAAATTCAGAATCTTTAGGGATGTTATTACCCAGGTGGTCCCTCAATGCGGTCCTGTGTGGCCTTACCAGAAGGAGGCAGAGGCAGGTTTGACTAGAGAGAGAAAGGAGGCCACGTGGCTGTGGAGAAAAGCTGGAGGGAGGCGGCCACCAGCGGCCCACAGAGGTGAGGAAGGCTCCCACCAGAGCCTCTGTGGCGGGCGTGGCCCTGCTGGCTCCTTGGTTTTGGCCCAGAGATGTGACTTGAACCCAAGATGATGGTAATTAGCTACAGCAGCCCCAGAAAGTCCACGCTCTCTGCTGCAGGGTGCTCACACTAAGACGTGCCGGGTCGCCTTCATTCTTGCCGCCAAATGGAGGTTGTCCCTCCAGATGCTGGGCACATGGCCATCCAGGAATGGATGGCATGCCCCAGACTCTCTTGCAGCTAAGTGGGACCACAAGACCAAATTCTCAGCCCTGGAATTTGGGAAGTGGTGTGGACAGTGTCTCCTTGTGTTGTCGATAGGAAGCTGCTAGCCCACGACTGCCCTCAGATGTGGTGCATGCTGATGAGGACACCTGCCCCCAGGGGAGAACCACAGGCTGAAGAGCCTGGGTCCCTGAGTGGC